TTGACACCAAACGACTCCGTGCATCCATTTACGTTCCGGCGCCGTCAGTATCCAATAAGGCTATGTTATGCTATGACCATAAACAAGAGTTAGGGACAGAGTTTAAAACAAGTAGCTCTGTATTTTCCCCGAAGCGTCTTCAGCCATGGACAGCTTTACGTGGCTTTATCCCGTGTGACTTCTCCCTCAAGATACTTGATGTAACTTCAGGAGAAAATGGTGAAAAGGGAACCACCAATATAGTCTACAAGAGATATTCAACAACATCCGTCAAGATGAGGTAAAAGTTCAATATATTAAAAAAATTGTACGAACACTGAGAAAAAAAAATAATCAAAAGATTGATAACATACGGTGCAGATAGGAGGCTTGGAAACGGAGGATTGTTTATCACCGCCGGTGAGTCACCAGGATGATATCAGCGTTCAATTGCCCGTCATTGACGGAGAAGAAGACTACGACTAATTACAGACAGATTTGTTATTTTAACTTTTTAAAGTCAAAAACTATTTACTCATTATTGTTATCTAGGCCCAATATCTTGCCCAATTATTTTCTTCTAATATACACAACAGAATAAAAATCAAATGCAAACAAGAAAATCCGTGAACCAACTTTCTGTTGAAAAAAGAAAAAAAATACCGGATTGGATGCAATTGAAACAAGATTTACGGTTTAGCAATTAAACCGGGCATTTCAGGTATCGGTTCGGTTCCGTTCGGATATTTCGGGTACAAGTAGTTCGGGTAAGTGGTTAGAGGATAAAATTACTACTTCACCTATTTTTTGGCTCGGTTCGGTACACTATATTCAGATTTGGTTCGGTTCAGATAGTAAAATTAGGTGTCAAAAAAATATCAAGAAAATTTAATTCTCAATTAGTTCCAGTTATGGTTCGGGTTCGGATAATTCGGATAAATTATCAATTATTTAGGATAAATTAACTAATAATTAGAACAATTTAGACACAAATTTCAGATATTGGATATTTGGATAAAATTATCCGTATACTAACACATAGTCCGGATCATTTTTAATTATTTAGTTATCTTAAACTAAATTTCAATACTTCTAATAGATATTTAAATAAAAAGCATAAATTTGGTTGTATTATATGTATATAAATTAATATTATTACAAAATCAAGAACCAGTTCTGTTCTCCGTTCGGTTCCGGTTAGATTCGGTTATCTCGGATCTAAAAATATAAGAACCGTTAAAATACTTAAAAATAAACCAATCCACTATACAAAACAGCATCTAATACCTAAAGAATGAAACAAATAAAGCAACTAATACAACAAAAAACACAAAAAATTCACAGAACCCCGCCCGTAGGGCGGGCAGACCCTAGTTAATTATATAACAACTAAGCATAAGGATAAATCAAGCTAGCGTTTGTAATCACATAGTAATAAAGATTCATTCTGTTTCTTAACAAATGTCATTTTGACATTTTTCATAAAAAAAATTAATATAATAAACTAACATATTTTTATAAATGATAAAAATTTAAATAAAATTATATTATTATTCAAAAAATAAATATTAGATTTAATATATAAAATTATATTGAGATTATAAAATGATATTTTTAAAGTGAAACTTATTATGAAAAAGAGTACTAATTATAAAACTCAGATTCCACAAAAAGAAAAAAAAATTGGAATAAATTGGCCAAAATCAAGAAAGCAAACCACCACCAAAGTTTTGTGTAGGCCTGGGCATTTTACCCGGACCCGAAGACCCGACCCGGAATCGGCCTGAAAAAATGCGGTTCGGGTAGGAACCGAACCGATCATTTTACCCTATTGGGTCTTGATGTGGAGGACCCGCGGGTCTTGGACCCGAACCGACCCGAATCTGAGACCCGATGGGGTACCCGAAATATCCAGAACATCTAGTTTATATTATGTATATATATATATGTTTTAGTATTTTTATGGTATTATGAGTATTATTTTATATCTTGGATTTGGGTTTTCGGATATAATTACGGGTTTTAAATAAAATTTTAGGTTTTTTAAAATATAATTCGAATAATCAGATAAAGTTTTGGATATTTTTATGTATTCGGGGGAGGTTTTGTGTATTTCTTGGATATTTAAATATTTTCCAGTATTTTTTGTGTGTTTTAGGTATTTTTTTGGGCCATACCCGGTAGGACCCGAACCGAACCCGACCCGAAACCGAACCGAATCCGAACCAATAAATTTTAATTACCCCATTGGGTCTAACTATATAAGACCCGAACCGACCTGGACCCGGTAGGACCCGAACCGAACCCGAACCGACAAAGTCTAATTACCCTATTGGGTCTAAATATCTAAGACCCGAAGGACCCGGACCCGACATAACCCGACCCGAAC